AGTGTGTAACTAGGCAGACATGCCTAGTTTCACAGTGTAACCCTTTTAACTACATAAACACAGATCAAACAGATATATAAAGTTGGCCTGACCCTCTCCATGAAATATATTTTGTGTGTGTGTTGTGATTGGACAATTTTGTAAAGGTTACATTAACCGTTTAGTTGCCACACATTTATGTAATGATATTTTTAGCTTCGTCATCCTGAATTTATGCAGCTCACACCATAAACAGTCACACCCTTCTGCTGATAGCACACACTGACAGTTGACTTGGACACATATTTTGGCTTAGGGCTTATTTCATTGTGTGTAAGCATATTACATCTAGGTTAGGGGAAGTTTAGGACTTTTTCCACTGTTCAAACAATAAGAATAAAAAGGACTTTTATAAATGTCATCATTATATGAGCAGTAGAGGCAAAATAACTTGGTGACTTCCTGTAGAAAAATGTAAACAAAAATTTCCTCAACAGGCAATTGTACGCCAGCTCTGTCGTAGCAACCAAACTAGCATGCAAATAAACCTCGCTATTCACTGCAGAGTTACAGAGCCTCTGAGAGCTACGTAACAAATTTGAGCTGATCTTTACATTGCTTTAAACACTGAAAGCCTTAGATTCTGTACTATGGCTGATACTGGGCTTTTTTACTTTTAATTATTTTATTTTCTGTTTTTGTGTGTGTCCTTTTCAATGTATTTTAATGTTTTTTTTATTTTTTTTTATTTTACCCTCCTCAAAATTGTGTGTCAATGTGGGTGTATTCATGTCTGTATCCTAAGTCACCCAGGATTAATACACATCATAAACTATGTGCAATAACTATTAAACTAAAGATTAACACCTTTACAACAGCGACGCTACTGGAAGTTTTCTTACTTTATAGCCTCATTAACCTTAAAAACCAATGGTGTGAGGATCTGCATCCTTAGTTAAACAAACAAAAAAAAAGTATCTTTAAAAAAATCGTATTTAATTGAGTATGATAAAAAGAAAAAGTACCATTAAAATAAAGCCAAGATAACGTAAACATATCTACCTCACAATGACGTACTGTAATGAGAATGACGTTAAACACACCTTAGAAAGCACACAGTACAGGGCACAGTGCAGGATTTCGCTAGAAATGCAATTATAGCCAACATAACTTATTTGATTGCACCTACCGACAAGCTTTGTTTGTTCTTCCAATTTTAATTTGTAAGAAACAGGACCAACTAGGGCACCATGATTCCCATCAAAACTTCAAATCAAGCTAATTTTTTTGTATCAGTTTAACCATATAATTTCAAGCTGGACAATCATTGTCTGTGCTTGAACTAACTGACTTTTCAATCAATTTACCCATTTATTCCTCTATTTATTTAATGGTTTATTAATGACAGGCCCTGTATAACACACCCTATGCTCATCTAGTTTGAACTTATTCATTCGTCTGGGTTAAAAGTTTGGAGTTTTTTTGAACAAATAAAACATTTCAGCTCAAATCAATATTTTGTGTCCAATTACTTATGTGGGAAGTAGCTGTGTATTAAGCGGGATAATGTATATCCAGCCAGTTGTTATCGCAAAATAAACCTCTTTAGGGTGATTTGCTTCCTTATTAAAGGAAGCAAAAGTGTTTTAAACAATGAAACAATAAATGTGCTGTTTAAAGTATTAGGACACTTTCTGGTCGCCAAACTTGATGAACGGTGTTAACTTCAGGGGAACTGACTTGTCACTAATAATCACTAAAATCAACTGGGACTACTCAGTGAAAAGGAAGGTTAGATCTGAGAAATGGGTTTGGCATTCCGTTAGTGGCATTTAGACATTTTTTGTTGAATTAAGTGTCCAAATACGTTTGGAGCCAATGAATGGTGAACGAGACGAGAAGCTGTCTGGTTCGTACTCAAGGAGAAGAGCTTACTCTGCAACAAAGACAAAGATCTCTCTCTTTCTGCCTCTCTCACTCTCTCTGAGGTGATGCTCCGACTGGCACGTCCTCTTTCTCAAGCAGCATCTATCTGCCAGCCTCTAGTTCTGTAAAGTCTGGGAGTCACTCCACTAATATCATGATTTCACATAAGCCACTCACAACTACACTAAATTGCTTTTACATACTGCAACACATAAGTTTCTGAAATTTTACAGTGCTAACAATGCTATCCTTCACTGGAACGGGGCCCCGCTAGGATTTAGCACTGCTGTATTACAAACAATATTATGTAACCTACAGTAAATGACCTCAAACAAAAACTCTGCCCTCTCTTACAAACGTCTGGCATTAGCAATTACAGCTCAGCACCTGATTTTTCAAGGAAATAAATTACCTCACAGAGATTCTATCATTGCATAATCTGATTCTGCTTAGAAATCCCTTTATTAGGGCCAATTAGGCTGAAATGACATTAACAGGGAAGTACATACAAGATACGCAGTCATGCAGGGGTGAATAAGAAAAGAAAAGCAGCCTGACTTGAGAAAGCAAAATAGAATTATGTCTTCTGACAGTTTGCTTTAGGTTTAATCCTCCCTAATCAAATGCTTCAAATGTCTTTTTGCAAATCGAGATTTCCTCTAAAAGCTTGTTAGTTCTGCTTGATATAGTACAGGTCAACTGTACACCTGCCCCCAATTAGGCTACCAGATTTTGCGGCCGTCCTGGTGCTCAGTTGTAATTTTTCAACATTTTGAAGTGATTAGACAAAATAACATGTTTTGAACCATATCTGAAATCTGAAAAAAACTGCCTTCGTACACAGTATATGATGGTAAAGACATCAATGCATGTCTCAAATTAATGTCTGTCTAACTCAGATGCCTTTATCTGGTTGGTTTTATCCTTCGCAGCCAATAATATGTGGTTCAGCGAGTGGTGGAAGGACCACTTAAATGAACGAAATTCATTTAGAAATGCTCAGTTTTTCATTTTATCTTTCCATCTCTACCTTAAAATAATCATTGTTTAGTCATTAGATATTTGCTTGGTTATCTAAAGTTTACTAGAATTCATTGTAGATCATTAGATATGACAATTGTGCCTTGAAAGTCTGTATGAAACCAATTTCCTTATAAGGTAAAACGGGAAATTAAAAAGTAGGGGAAAAGAAAGAGAGAGAATGACAAAGTTGTCCTACACAAATACTAAAACCTGACAGGTTAGTGACAGGTGTAGCACTGTTGTCTATTCATACAATACACAGTGATAAATGTACTTTAAATGTCTGAACATGTTTTATGATCAGTCATAATATCTAAAACCTTCCTGTCAAGCACACATTCTTCGCACATGTTTAATATCAGAAGCCGGTTTGGTATGAAAAGACTAAGCACAAGGGTTGTCTTAACAACCAACAATGCGTGTGCATGTTTCTCTGGCATTAGAGAGGCACACAAGTGTGCATGTTGAATGAAGCGCCCTGTACAACACAGGCACAACACTAGGCAGTGTGCTGGGAATGGGTCAAGAACACGACCTCACTGGCAGTGTTATGTTAAGCGTTCCCTAGCTTGAAGCCAGCTGTAGCTGTCCTCTCCCTAGGGACATCTCCATCGTTCCCAGCACATAAACCAAACACTAGAATAAATGCAGCAACAGCATAACACAAAGCTGTTTTAAAAAAAATACTTTAGGTCTAATTTAACTTAAGAATCTTGTATCAACCACACTATATTTAGCAGAAAACCAGTGAATTTCACTCATCTTAAACTCTAAAACATCCCAAATGTTTGTTTTTATGGTTTGCTTCGGTCTTTCGTGATAAAAGACTAAATAAAACCCACATCATGTAAAGTCCCAAGCTCAGGAAATCTGAAAGACACTTGATCTACCATGGGTGATCATCATGCAGCTGTGGTTAGGTTAGCCATGTATAACAGCTTACTAGTCACGTATGAGTCTCTAGCACTAGCAGTATTAGTTACTAGTTTGGATGGTGCCCAAAATAAGACTAGAGCTGGAGCTTTCCAATTAAAACATAATTATCAAATTTAAGGTGAATTCTAAGGTAAATTTAGTTAAGAAAATGCAGTCATACTTATATATACACAATCCAATTAAATATATAAACCACATTATTGTAAATATATATAAACATCTAAGTGTAGTATGCACACACATACCAAAACTCCACCATAATTCTAATCATAATGATGATATAACCAAATAACTTATATAGAGAATAGTATATTGTATATTTTTGCTTTGTGTAATATTGTAATAAATGGCAACATTGTATGTAAACCCAAAAATGCCAACAAAGTACTTTAAATTGAAACTTACTTTAATTGGGAGAGGAGAGGAGAGGAGAGGAGGAGAAGAGAAGAGAAGAGAAGAGAAGAGAAGAGAAGAGAAGAGAAGAGAAGAGAAGAGAAGAGAAGAGAAAAAAGAAAAACGAAAAGAAAAGAAAAGAGCTGGCCACTGATGGATTAAAGTGGGCACGTACGCCACGATTCTCTGGCTGTGTCTGAAAACCCAGTGTGCTACCTACAAATACAGCACTTTAGGGCATCACAGGCGCCACCACTGATACATAAACATGCGGTCTACGCAGGCAGCTCATTGTGCTATAGAGACATAGCCAGAAAACGCGCCTATGATGCCCAAAAAATGCTGTTTTATGTAGGCAGCTTAATAGGGTTTTTAGACACAGCCTTTCTTTTTAAACAAACGAGTTTCCGGCATTGACTAACTACGATCAACACCTACCAGTTTTTAGGAAACTGTAGCACATTGTTATGTGCTCGTCACAACTTCGTTACCCATGTGACAGCTCTCAACATGTGGTACGGGCTTATTTTTGTTACTCAACTATTTTGTCAACTTTTTGGAGCTCGACATGAAGGCTCGCGAGGTTATGCGGCTAGTACCTGACTGACATTTAGAAAACTATTTAACTGAACTTACAGAAATACCATTACAGACAAATATTTTCCACATAATATTTTGTTAAGGCTTATCTCCTGTGTTTGTTTTTGCATTTTGACAAGAAAAAAAATCGTTTTTTCCCTTACCTTTTCGCCCTCCATCACGTCTTGTCAAATGTTGGATGACGTCTCGACGTACGTTGACTCAGTTGAAACTTCGCCTTTTCCCTCGTTTTTCCACAGAACTCAACTTTTAAATAAAATTAACGTTAATAATAATAATAAAATAAATAAACAAATACAGCTTCGCCAAGTATGATGTAGCTTAAAAGGGAGACCGAGTAAATGCCTTTAGATGCCTCTTATGAACTACTTCTGACAGATTCGTCGTTCTTAAATAAGTTAATCTCTCCTCCTTTTTCTTATCTGGTCTATTTGAACAAAACCAGAGTTTATCAGCTCGACCCAGCGAGTCTTGAGATGCTGTCCGGGTTCGCCGGGTTAATATGTATGACGCAACAATGTCGGGATAACAAAACCAAAGTTATCAGCTCGACCCAGCGAGTCTTGAGATGCTGTCCGGGTTCGCCGGGTTAATATGTATGACGCAACAATGTCGGGACTGGGAATGTGATCTGTGATTGGCTCATCCGGAATGACGACTTATGGAGCATAATGGCTGCGTAAGAGAGCGTGCAGAATCACACATCACGAGAATCAATCTTAAAAGACGTGGCAGTGTATTCTTTGATAATACTAACCATAGCGCACTTTTGTGTCGAGACGGTGATGACTTAGAATGCGTTTGGAGAAATGTAGTCTGTTTCTGTTCATATTTTAGTTTTTTTCACAAACAAGTGCATTTTCAAAACTCTTCATAGGCTACAAACTCCATCAGTGTTCACTAAGCCACGATTAAGCAGTGTGAAAAGATGCTTTCATTACAGTTGTGTTTCTTTTCATAATAACAACAACAACATAACAGAATAGAATAATAGAACAGCATATAGAAGAAAAATAATATGGCATAAGAATATTTAGCAAATGCATTGCCAAAATAGAACGAACAGACCGTTTCGTTGTGAGAGATGAATAGAAATATTTAGATAATGCAGTGCAGGATAGTGAATCTCTGATCCTTACAAAATGTTTTAATTCAACAGTGTTTAAAGGGGTCATATGATGCTTTTTTAAAGATCATTATTTTTGTGAGGAGAAAATCTTTCCAAGTAAAACTTTGCATAATCAGAATAGAAAGAAACCTTTCATGTCTTATTCCTTTGAAATACAATGAAAACAAAAGTAGGTATCTGGCCACAGAAAAGTCCAGAAAGAAAGAATGAAAGAAAAAAAACAACAACTAATATACGCACAAATTGCTAATTATTGCCTTTATAAATGTACCAGATTTGTTGCAATATTTTATAATAGCTTAACCTTATTTCTTAAACTTATTTACATAGTAAAATACATATAACATATTTAAAAATATATATATTCTAAAGATGTTAAATAAATACTGATCCCATATACACTCTATTGTAAGTTAAAGATGTTGGCCAGTAAATATGGACTTGTTTTTCCTGAGCTGAATCAGAAAGAGCTTTATTGCCAGGTATGTTTACACATATGAGGAATTTGATTTGGTGACAGAGTCATACCCAGAACAAACAGAATAACAGTGACAAGATACAGATAATAAAAAAATAGAAGTAGTAAATAGGAAATAGCAATATACAACAATTTTTTTGAAATAACACAATATACAATATAGACAATAGTACACCTTTATTTATTTTTTTTAAAGTACATTTAAAACAGAGAAAGTCTTAAGAGATATACAAGCATATGTGGCAGAATCACTTATGCAAAGACATCATATCCTGCCAAGAGAGGAAATGGGTGTCCAGGTAACTATTTGTGCTGCATGATCTGCCATTCAGGACCCTTTGTACTAGATCAGTGATTAAACCACCAGACTTGCAGTCAAACTGAACAAGTGTTTGTAGAGAAGCTCAAAGAGCAATTATGTCTCACTCCTACAGACAATTCCTTTTGGATTGTGGGAAAGTGAGAGATGAGAGGGGGTAATACGTAACAACCCATTATGACAGAGGTTTTGTTTGAGTTGGTGGGGAAGTATCTGCTTATCGCACAAGCAAAATAATCGACCTGCAAGAGCAGGAAATAACAACGCATTGGCACAATAATCAAAACTACACACAAATGAGAAAAAACTGACACAAGCTAAGAGTGCGCACCTTTTGTTTCATTGTTAAATTTGTTTGATATGCTAAGAAAAACAAAAACAGACATTTCTGAACAATCAATGATGGATGTTCTAAACCTGGGAGACAGAAAAGAAAATAATAAAATAATACAAAGCAGGAATATGCTAAAATTAAAAGATGAATGAGAATATACTCTGTTAAATAAGATTCATGGAATTGCTGGAAGTTTAACATAAACACTACAATGCTACCATTACTACTGAAATTTGAATAATATAAATAACATTAAGAAAATAATACCCAAAAAATTATATGTAATTATATTATAATTACAAATTATTATTAATGTATTATTTATTATAATAAATGTATAGTCTATTATTATTATAAAATAATATATATTTATATAACAATTATAAAAAACTACATATTTTTATTGATATCATTTATATTATTACAAATTTTGCATACATACTTTAAATCAAAATATATAAAGCTAAGCATTTCTAGTCACATGCAGTTTAAATGGCATGGTGACACTTAATATTGACATTTTTAGAAATAACATTTTATGTTAGTCATTTTTTTGTATTGTTCCTTAAATCTGTTCCTGCTTAGATTTCCCTTTGCAGGCAGCATGCAGTGATGTGTTAGCCTCATTCAGAAATACTGCCTAGTCAATCTGTCGAAGGCAGAACAAGCAGCCATACACTCTCTTGGCAGGGTTTGTGGACTGCTGCACGTAAGGGGCTAACTAACGTGCTCTTTTGTTGTGCTAATGTGCTTATAGCATCTGTGCATCTACACTCATTCCATAGTGCGTATCAATCGCACCAACCAGCAACCATGTACTTCATTCACTACAAGGAACTCTGTTTAGGAGTAAGCAGTGAATTTCTGGGAATTTTAACACTGTACTGTATGTTTATCTTCGTGAGTAAATAATAGTAAGTACCTCAATTGTACGACAACCTTGCCTCACATTTCTTTCTCCTTGTCAAACAACAGGCACGGCAATCTCAGACTGTTTTCAAAACACAAAAGCTGCTCATGAGGGTGATATAACTTCATATTTTAGATAATAAACATGACCTGTGGATCAGCTGACAACTAAATGTTTCCATACACATCTGCAGGTCTGGATGGAGAAGGCTTAGTATGGATACTGCATGATAAACACACTTTCACTAGGCCACGTGTTTAATATAAATCACTTCTGTTCTGACATGTTGCCGGTACTGAGTCAAAGCATCAGTGTCTGGGTGATTAGAAATGATACTATAAAGGACACTACCAGGAGGTCATTTGAAACCGGTAAATTTCTGGAAAGTTGAAGGATCCAGTAAGAGAATGCATTAGTAATAAGTAATAAGTAATATTTACAGCGCTAATGCAGAGAAAACACGGACGATTTCATCAGAGATGGCGGAGAGAAGTGACTCGCGTCCAGATGGCAGTAAATTATTCTTTTCAGCGTGTATTTGGCTTAAAAGCACGAGTGTTTTATAATGAATTCCAGCTGAAGGTGTTTTAGATTATGCGCTGGTCAGTAGTTTAGGTATTCTGAATGGATCCATATAGTAGCATGTACAGTCAGGTTAAGGCAGCAGGTTTAGTGGTCTTTTGGCGTCTCCCTGCGGTCCTGTTTGGTATTGCAGCTTAACTGGTGCTTTTTTATATTAAAAATGCTCTAAACAAATTTCTTTCTTTCTTTCGACATTATATAGATACATTTGGAATTATGAAAAAAAAAATTTGGAGGGGGATGTGGGGGGGTACCGGCACTTCTTTTTTTCCACTTCAAGCACTGCCTATGACATTTTAGCACCAGAACAGTTGAAGCAAGGGCTTTCATAGCTGTGAAATCTGATATATTGGTTGCAGAACTGACAAGCCTGCTACAACAGCACTGAAACGCCCAATGCCCTCTCTGCCAGTTTTGCCCTGCTGAGTCACTGCCCCCATTTAGGCCAGTTGGAGGAAGCCCGGGAAGTCTCATGGGTTTGTTAATAGCACCACTGTACGGCATTGTTTAATTCAGCACTTCAGCAGATTTATAAAGACTTCTGCAATCAGTACCCTTTCTAAAAAGACAATGAAAGAACAGCTTAAAAACCTAACAAATCCTTTTTACATTTATTAAATCAGATATTAGACTACATCAACTGCTACACACACTGTAAATTAATTATTTTTAGGAGTACATTTTACAAGAAAATAATCTTTCATTTTTAATTCAGTGTTACTTACCATTTCTTTGTAATTATTTGTGAAATTGACTTGCTGAGTGAAAACTATTTCACCATCAATTTTTTTCAGTGTATATACATGTAATATTTTACCAAAAAGTGTAGTAGCAGCATTTTTACCCTCTAAATGAACAGATTATTAAATTGTAAACAAAAATTCCTAATGTTTATTTATTTGATTTCTAATCATTTTTTTTATTTTTTTGTAATTTATTTTATGCATACAGATTCATTTAGTATCATTGTCATGCACCAGAGGGTTAATTGCTGACATTATCTGCCAAAAGAATTAGTGTATATTTTATTTGTATTAATACATTTTAACATTATAATAGTACTCTTTAATTCGTCACATAGTTCCATCAGTCTTTATGTCAGACATTTAGTCTCTAGAAAAATAAAAATAAAAATCTTCATGCCATTAAAAGGTTAATTTTAAGACATCATTAATGAAATGCTTCTAAAAAGTTTAAAACATGCATCACACATAAAGATTTCATTCTACATGTGTGCAACAAAAGTATCGGGTCTCAATGGTCCACAAAGATGTTAGACCTCTAAGCCTATTGCACTTGTTTTTACAAGTTGAATAGAGGATTTAGAAGTATTTACTTGAAATATGCCAATTACATAATCAGATCAACGTGGTGGAATTTGAAGAGATAACATTTTAACAAAGTAGTATGTGTGTCTAATCTTGGTCATTATATTCCTTTCATTCAAATTTGTGCAAAATTCATATGGTCACCGAATCAAATAGATAAAGTGTATAGCATAAATAAAATTTTAGTGCTAATCTCTATGTATAGTAGGTAGGTCCAAAAGATATATTAGCAAACCTATAGTATCTTTCACCAACTCATGAGCAAAAATAAACAAAACCTTAGATTGTTACTGCAGAATGTCGCGTAATATTGCAACAGACATGTCATATCCGCTGGCTGATAGAATGCAAACACAGAAATACTGCCTTCTTAAATAGCAAAGTTCAATTTGTAGAGCTTAAAAACT